GTGTGTGTGTGTGTGTGTGTGTGTGTGTGTGTGTGTGTGCAGCTTCAGGATTCAACTCTTGGCACTGCAGGGCCTTGTACTGGTAGGACTGGGGGTCACTAGAAAGGAGGTGTATAGTATGTCAAAGAAATTATAAAAATTCATAGTTTAGTTAAAAAACGTAATTTCATAGTATTTCAAAAAACATTTAATGCGTTTTGTTAAGTCAATAAATAGCCTTAGTATATATAGTATGTTGAAAGAAGACAGTTTGAGTTTAGAATGTCGAAAAATAAACAAAAAAGTCACAGCATAGTTTGTAAATGAATGTCATAATAAAGTATGTGGAAAAAGCCATTAAAGTCATAGTATACAAAAGTAATAGTATAGTATGTCATTAAAATGTCAAAGTATATGTTGGAAAAATGTTTTACTGTAGTATTTGGGTTAAACAGTTAAACGGCCTAATAGTATGTCCAAAAAAAATATATAAAAAGTCATAATATAGTATGCTGAAATGTATGTTGTAAAAAGTCAAAGTAGCATACAATTTGTTATAAAAATGATTATAAAAATAGTCTGTCACAACATATACATGAAAAGACACGGTAGGGTATCAAAAAATCCATACAAATGTAATTATATAGTATTTAGAAAAAAACATTAAAATTAAAAAAGTAAAACAAATCATAAAATGGCAGTAGAACAGTATGTCACATGTCGTAAAAATGTCATTGTATAGTATGTTGAGAAGAATCCCCAGAAGGTCATAGTATAGTATGTCAAAAAAAGTAAATATATTGTAAGTCAAAATAAATCACAGTATACTGTCTAAAAAAGTAAAAAAACAAAAAGGCATAGTATAGCACGTCAACATTTTTTTAGTTTGTTGAAAAAAAATCATGAAGTCAAAGTTTAGTATGTTTAAATAAAATAGCATGACTAAAATAGTCATATTATACAATGTTGAAGGTCACAAAAAAGTCACAGTATATTATGTAAAAAGAATTATTAAAATATCAAATATGACAAACATACCTGATTTTCATCCTTTAAAAACTACCGTCCTCAGTAGAACTGTGTAACTGATCATGGATGAGGTCTCATGGTCTGAATCTGGAGTAGTTTCATGAGCTCTGCCCTCTTCAAACATCACACGTTTTCTTTCAGCGTGCGCAGCGAGGAACATCACTGTACGACGTAGCCAAGTGAAAATAAAACTTGATTTCCCTCCGTTTTGAGGTTGTGTTGTGCGTTCTGTTTGGTCATGCTGCATGGACGGGAAAAAAAGCAAATTAGTGTTAAAGAGTGAAGTAAATTCTACAAGAAGGTAACTTCTACGCACAATAAGATATTTTGACTGCACTAAATTAAAAACACCATATTTTGGGGCTTCCATTTGTTTGCACACAAAAGAAGAAATGTTTATTGCGGAAACTCTTCACCTAAATTTCTTGTCTTGTGTGCTTAATGAATGTTTACGAGGAACTCCTTATGCTACTAATAAGCTTTCAGAAGGATATTCTTTGACTGAGGGCACAAATTACAGTGTAAGCCACCATTGGTCTCCATTTTGTCAAACAATACTTACACGCCCATATGTACTCTGAAAGACGATCAGTCTATACTGGCTGTGAACGTATCCTTTAACCTATTAACATATTTGGCCACTTGAAGGCAGCAGAAACAAGTTGTTGTGAACACAGCTTTGACAAATCCTCTCCTTTTATGGCGATATGTCAAACTTCTTAGGAAACCATTTGCTGATTGACACGTCCAGCCGTTACACAGCAACATTTTCATTCACTTGTTTTTTTTGTTTCTGGCCACATGGCGAATGTAAGTCCAATTTTCACTCTCTTTCAACTCTGTTTTTGGTTTCCACCAACTCACGGGGGAATTATCATTTTGATGCTAGACTGTCTGTTTGGTGCTGAGCAGGTAGCAGTTTGTCGAGCTTGTTTTGCAGAAAACAGCTGCCTGCTGCAGCCAAAAAAACAAATCCCACGTCATAACCGCACGTAGCTTAGAAGTGGTATAAAATGATGCACTGATCTGATGTTGATGGTCTGGATTATTTGTGAGTTTGGCAGTAAATAAAGCTTTCAAAGTGCCCTGAGAGGTGATGTCTATTTATAAAGGTACTTTGTGTTCTGGCTTTAGTATCCAGCTCTCTGCACATACTGGCACCGAGGTGCCAGTATGTGCAGCCTCAAGTCGTAGCAGATAAATATCGGAGGCTTTGTCTCCACATAAATTCTACCTCACTGCAAGACGTACGCCAAGCACCTCATCACCTCTAGGTTATTTCAGTTCCCTCCATTGGTCCTTGACGAAATCTCCAACATTGAGTTGTAATTGGCCTTTTCAGGAAAAGAGAATAGCGACCATGACCTTGAATTAGTAGGCAAAGCGTTACACCTCTGCCATCTGATGGGGGGGGGGCGGTTACGCTGCTTATCCGGATGTTCCTGGATTTAATTTTTAACCTGACCACACCCGACAAGCCCGGGGACCTGGGGGAGACCTCAGCTGGTGAGGGATGAGTGGCAGTCAGGAGATGGGAACATGAGAAAGTGAGGTATGTAGATGCAAGACTGAGGAATACAGTCGCAGCTTGCAGAAGAGTGTGCAGACGAAGTGGCGGCAGAGTGGAAGGATGGAGGAGCTCATCTCATGGCGCCGGTAAGGAGGAAGCCTGAGTGATGTCGATGGGAGTGTTGTCATCTGAGCAGAACAGCTGACAATTAAATCAGAAGCATCACATCGTTCTGTGAAAGAGAGCAAAGACTGAGAAGCTGCAGGAAAGAGATGTTTACAGAGGACATGTGAGGTGGTGGGAGTTTAAAGCACACATTTTGATTTTGACCTACATTTAGTCTTAAGGCGCTCCTCTTATTCCGTCACTTGGCACAAATCGGGTACCTTTAGCTTCCATCAGAGTTTTCCAGGAGGGTTTAATCTCTTCTGAGGATTCTATCGTTACCAGGAGAGCAGATAAACACAGAGCCGGCCTCATTTTTCCCAGCAGGAATGAACGACTCAAAAACTCAAGCCCAGCTGTAGCCGATTACGTTGAGACAAGCAGCTCCAACCTTTGGACCGCAGCTTTTCCCTTGTTAGATGTTGTTTAAATGACCAGAGTCTGGTCAGAGAACTATTCACATGATGAACCAGTTTTCAAACTGTTTGAATCATGTGGACAAAAGGTTAGTTTCCCTTTTTGTGGGACTAATAAAGGACCATCTTATCTTAAGGCTTCTTACATGTTGATGCACCAATAGGAATATTTCAATAATATAGTGACAGGGGCTGTTCTCCATAAAGAGTACTTGTACCTTTATACTCAAGTATTTGAATGCAGCGCATTTTACTGAGAATGTTAACAGCCTGGAATTACTTCTTGTGCGTTCACCCTGTTTTGACTCGTTAAACATTTATCTATTATTAAAGACACGTTACTTATTACCCCCCTATACGCCACATTTTGAAGAAACAATTCACCTCCACCCCAAAATATCAAGCTCTCTCAATATCCAAGAGACACTAACATGACCCTCAAAAAAAGTCCATCATGTGATCCCTGAACTGACCATCGGGTGACTTCGACGAGGTCACCTCAACCTGCAGGAACCTGTCATTCCCACGCAGTCCGATCGTCAGCTCATCAAGTTCTCTCTGAGGCAGTTCAAGCTTTAGAGATGTTTGGAAACACAAAGTAAAGCTGCCTGTGACGGGACATTACATGGCGTCATACTGTAAGGTAATGCGTCACTATTGAATAACAGAAAGTGAACACGTTGCTCTGTAATCCTGCTCGTTTCTCTGCAGTGCTTCACACCCAAGAGCAGGTGTCCCGAGTCGACGGCTCTGAAATATGGCGGACTGAGCCAGAGCTGCATTTAGCTGCCGATTCAAAGCTCGTGTCCAGAGCGCTTGCGGTGTAATTTAGTCTGCCTGCTTTGACATTAAAATTGAGTCCAGAGGTGTCAGCAATTCCTCTTCACCAACAAGGCTCTTGTGGCCATACAATATTAAAGTTACAAAAACCCCACTTAACTGAGTGTGTGAGGTCAGAGGGTCAGAAAGGAGACAGACAAGCTAAACTCTTTGCCAGTAAGTTTATTTGGAGATATTTTGTAGAACAGGGGAACCAATGATTACAAAAGAAAGTCCATAAGTGTTCTACATGCTACACCTTAACCTAATTTATCATGCTTGCCTGGAAAAAGTACATAGAAATTTAACAAAAAACGTACAGTTAAAACTGACATACTTTATACTCACCATTAACTTTAATGTACCTTTCTCTTGCCTCCATGCACGCATTTCTTTTTAAACATTACATTTAGATAAAAAAAAAAAAAATTAAGACTTTTAGGCGCTTCTTTAAACCATAAAGCAGTTTTTCCATTAAAGACAGAGCGCACCTATAAATAAAAAAACAAAATGAAGAATAATGATATCCGTTTGGATAATATTGGTGGAAAATGGAAAGGTTTGTTTAGGACATAACTGATGAATTTGCATCCTACCATAAAACAAAGGAACACTTAAAGACGCCCATATAGTGCCGAAATGAAAATGGAAGTCTGTCCAACTTATCGATCTTCAATAATCACATTGAAATAACACATTTTGATAAAATAAATATCGCACATCTGCTAGAAATAAATAATGATTACTGAAACACCTCACTATGTTAAATGCTAAAGTGAGACAGATTTCATCTACGCGACCCCGATGGTCATGTGTGTAAAGCACTAGTGCGGCTTCGAGTGTCTCTCGCGGCTGTTACCTTGAGGTAGATAACACATTTACATTAACGCCTACGATAATGGTTGCTGCTGGCATCATGTGTCAGATTTACAGTATGAAAGGGATATTTTGGAAGCTTTCTTCAGGGAAAAATGTCATGAAGTCAAATGAAAACAAAATAAAAAAAGACCTCCAAATCCCCCTTTTTTTCCTCGGTATCTCCACCCAGGAAAGGCAATGTTGGTGTCTAGCACCTTTCCTTACGTCACACCACCATCCATCTTTCTTCTAGTTGCTTCTCTCCAGCTTTCCGGTCTTCTACAGTACTTAAGTGTGCAAGTGACATGCCAGTTTAGCAATGAGGACGCAGACATTAACCCATGAAGGCCTGGTGACCAAGGCTCAGAGTGACAACCCAAACTCTTTAAATATAATAAATCACCCCTCAACTCTTAAAAAAAAAAAATAATAATTAAAAGTAACCATAATAAAAAAAGGTATGAAATGATTCAAGTTCAATAATATACCGTATTATTTAAAAAAAAAAAAAAACATAAAAACAAAACTGCCTAGATTTTGTGTCGGAGGATATATATTTCTTTAATTAAGATGCTTGAAGATGCTGCTGTATGTTTTGTGGGCGACCTGTGGGGAGCATTTGACAGCGCAGGGGGTGAGGGACGCCTGGATGGATTTTAGAGGCAAGTCATCGGTGCTGTCAAAGCTAGGCAGGGCCAGAGAGTCCAGCTGAACATTAAGGACAATCTCCGTGTTCCTACCGAGGAAGCTCTCGTCCAGCTCTCTCCCCTCCGAGGGCTCCGTCTCCGAGCTGGCCACGGTCTCTCCGGCCCCCTCTTCCTTCCGGCTGAACAGGCGGTCCAGGTAGCTGGTGTACGTGCTGTCCTTCTGGAGCTGGTCCTCTTTGCGAATGTCCCAGCATGCTTCGTCTATCAAACAGCCGTTCTCCCCGACTCGCTCCCCACAGCCGAAGCTCTCCCAGGGCTGAGCGGGCCAAGCCCCGTCCCCGCCGACGACACCCGACCCTCCTCCGCCCAACTGGGCGAGGTTGACCAGGCACTTCTCCTCCTTCTCCTGACTTATGGACTTGGACATGGAGCCCGAGCGGGGAGCCTCCAGCTGGGAAACGGAAGAGTTGAGCTCATTCAGGAGGCCCACCTCGTGGAGGAGGGCCACCTCCTGACAGGGCTCTGGCTGCAGGCTCAGTTTAATGGTGCTGGCAATGAAGGAGTCAAAGTCAAAGCCTTGGTTCTGCTGGCCTTGGGGCTTCTCCGTCTGGTGTTTCTCCTGCTCGCTGTCCTTCTCCACCGGACCCTGGGTCTTCTCGGCCTCCTGCAGCGCGATCTGGGCCTTCACCAGCCCGTTCTTCTCGCACTTGCTCTTGGCCTTGCCCTTCTCCTTGCTCTGCTGCTCCTTCCAGTTGGAGAGGTTGATGATGAGCTTGGGCTCGTAGTAGTGGTTGACTTCACTGTCCCTCCAGATGAGGTTGTCCAGGTAAGAGGGCGACACGGCCTTGTAGTTACAGGTGTGGCTACACTGCAAGTCACAGTATTTGTTCTCGTGGTGGTCTTCCTGCCAGGATCGCTCTGGCTGGAACATGGTGGAGTAGTCAAAGGACGGCTCATCCAAGAACTTCTCCCGATCTCCATCAGCATATTTACGAGGATCCACCTGGAAACGGACAACAGCCACCAGTTAGCCTCAGCAAACTCAGCAGAAAGTCCATTTAAAATCAGTCATGTTATCCCTGTAAAGCTTTGGATTGCAACACTGGAAAGGATTTTCAGTTTTGTAGGTATTCTTTTTTAGAACAACACTATGCATCCTCACATTTGGGAAGGACATTTGCATACTAACAGTTATCTAAAGCATTCAAATGTGTTCTTAAAAGTTTATGAAGTAAAGAGAAATAAAAACTACTTGTTCTAACAGGAGTATGAAGATTCAAACACACCTGGACCTCCTCCTCGTCCGTCACATCAGAGAGAGCCCTCGGGTCGACCTGAACTTCATCTGGGTCGTGGGTGCTGTGCAAGTGCCAGTCCGCCTCCGACAGCTGGCTCTCATGATACCTGATAAGAGTATCAAAGAGAGACTTCAGTAACCAAACACGTGCACAAAATGACAAAACTCCATTACAAGATCCAACTATGCAAGCACACCATGTTCTTTTTTTCTGGCCACATGATCTGCATATTCATATATTTACTGCTTAGTTAGCAGAGAGCAAAGCAAAATATTCCCCACTGAAACGAAAGCTCAAAATGTCAGACCATGGGAAATATACAACTTTGCATGTGTGAGCTTGGTCACAGAGAGCAGGTGTTTGAGAGAGCGAGCATACCTGTCCCAGGTGTGGCTGTGGCTCTGGTCCATGAGCAGGATATCATCTACTTCGTCCTCAATGTGGAAGGGGTGCAGAGAGACGGGCTCGTCGAGGGGGAAGGAGTAGTCAGCCATATAGGGGTGGGCCAGGGCCTCCTCCGCAGTGAGACGATCCATGGGGTTAAAGGTCAGGATCTTCTCCAGGAAATCCAGGGCTGCAGAGAGGGAGGACGTTGAGATCATCAAGTAAGAAATGTGAATTATGAGACACGATATCCTGACCCCTGCCTTTGGTCTGTGTTCACGACAATATGTTGAGCTTGTGAGCAACTGTGAATGAATAAGGAAGTGGTACGCACCCTGGGGACTAATGTCAGGCAGCAGCTTGGCCAGTGGCGTGTGAGGCTTGGACATGTCGTTGCGGATGAAAACGGGGATGACGCTGTGGAGCTCCTGTCGGTCTTCCTCACGCAGCACAGGGATGGACTCCAGGATCAGCTGCATCTGCTCCAACTCGTGGGCTCCTGAAACACCAGGCAGACAAACGTGAGACACTCTCTCTGAAGGGTCACACAACACTGAACAACTGCGTGACTGAGTGAGTGTGTTTTGGGTTAGGCCGAGCGCAGCAGATCACGAGAACAGAGATGTTATTTGTCTTGTGTTCAGCTCAAGGCAATTTCGAACAAATAAGAAGAGTCGGTCTCACAGCTCCAGCTGGATGTGCAAAAGACTGCAATAGGGAAAGTAAATGCAAACCGACTTTGGGCCAATCTCTCGTTAGTTCTGAACAAAGACCTTAACATATGCCTCAGACCTGTGCTCCATATTTACCTCAGAGTCACCCCGTCTGGTTTTAAAGACTACTTGCTGGTATGTTTGTTAGTGAGTCAGAGGCGGGAAACCAAGTCGACATTTACCTGCAAAGAGGGTTTTCCCTGTGAGCATCTCTGCAAAGATGCAGCCAGCCGCCCACATGTCGATGGCTTTGGTGTAGTTGTTAGGAGACAGCAGCAGGCGAGGAGACCTGTACCACTTGGTGACCAGACCTTCAGAGAGATGGCCCTGTGATAGAAGGGGGCATGGCATATTTAGTGGGACTCTTATGAGGAAAATAACTTTTTTTTTTTAAAGTTACAAGAAAGCATAACAGACATATTTTTCCCCCAAAACCACTGGTTTGTTCACAGCTAATGAGGCTCTAAAAACTAATTTCTCTCAGTAGTAGGTAAATGTGGTTGACATGACTTCCCTGTGCCTCCGGGTACGCCACACAACACTGCTGCCAACACGAGTCCCAGAACAAAACACGCCTGCTGGTCCGTGCTAAACTTGATAACCCCTCGTGCAGTCTCCTTGGCGGACCTGCTCTCTGCTGGTCACGTACGCAACACAGCATGGAGACAAAGACCCCAGAGAGAAAAGACAGATGAAAGGGGGGAGATCAGACATGTCAGCAGTCAGAGAGAGCGGGATAATCCCCCGCTGCCACACTCTCCACTGACCAGTGACACCAATCTGCACTCCACTCTCACACAGAGCAGGACACTGAACACAAAGGAAACTGACCTGTGTGCCCACACACACGGGGACATTGGGGGATGGGAGGTAAAACAACACCCGTGCTGTCCCTGTCCCCCCCCATGCAGTGGCAGTCCGTGGTCAGACTAAAATGGTCGGCTCACCACCGAGCCAGGCTTTAGTTTCTGCCTTAAGTTAGCCGCAAATACTTTACGTCACACTATACTCGAGTGTATCACTCCTGTTTTGATATGCCTATAAATGACTCGCCATGTAGACACATGCAGAAACAGCCAATAAACTGCATGAATGTGGTCACAGTGGAGAAATATCTGCAACCAGCTTAGCAGAGCATTGCAACAGATTTAGATTAGGTTATCTTGAGAGAGTGTTGGGTCACTGCATCAGGACAATTCTTTGTCAGACGGACTCTGAACTAAAAAAAGGAGCAGGTTAGAGTTTGCCTACCAGCTGAGGGCATTACAGTGCATTGGCTGAACACTCCAGCTCGCCCCTTACTTTTACTGATCTGAAAGTGAGCCACTAACCACAACACGGAGGCAGGAGTTAAAGCGTCAGTCATCTCAATACCTCTGGCAACAGTTGGTGAATAACTTAACCGCCTGATCTAGATCAGACCGGGCTGACATTTAGTGACTCATAAAAGGCTCCCTCGGTGTTTCTGGCAGCGGTTTATCACAGAAACCCTCAGCTGGTCTGACCAGATGTCAGCAAAGGTAGTTGGTGACGAGTCAGTGAGATCACCACCAGCCCAGCCTCCAATTGCAGGAGGAAGCTGTGCTGCTTCACAGAAGCCAGTGACTGAAGATTTCCTTGCTGGCACTGAATGTATTTTAGTCTTAACCCACCCACCCACACGTGAATAATTTCACAGGCAAACCACTCTAAATAGCAGTAGTGCTGGGCGGTATACCGGTTTTAATTTCCCGTATGATATGAATTTTTCACACCGTCATACCAGTGCACAGCCGAAACAACTGCTGTAACTCTTCAACAGGCAGCTAAATATATTGTTCGCCGCTATGAGCGCTATAGTCGGAGCTACTTGTCTTAAGTGTATTGAGAGAGACCTCTAATCACGGTTATAACAACAATTAATAACCCACAACTAACGCTCTTTAACAGGGCAAAACGCCACGACACAACAGTTTGTGACAAATAAACAATTTGTAACACTAATAATTGTACATTTATAAAATGTCACCGCCGAACTACATGCTGGGTACAGCTCGCTAGCTAGCCAGCTAGCACAACAGTCTGTTAACAGCGAGAGGCTCCGTCGCTCCAGTAACGTTACATTAACGAACAGAAAGGAGCGATGCAGGATGAACAAAGACAGACCGGAGATGCACTGATAGTCTGTGCCCAAGAGAGGAGCTGTGTCTGCTGTTTGGAAGTGTTTTGGTTTTAAAAAATCCAACGTTTTGCGAGTTTGTCGAGCCACTGTTGTTGCAGCTGGTGGTAACATGAGCATCTTACTCCAGCACCTCAGCAGAAAACACGTGTTGGAGTACGAAGAGTGTGATGACGGCCGTCGGATTCGAGGCCGTCAACCAGTAACGTTAACGCGAGTGAAACAGTGAAGCCGAAGGGTCAGACATCGCTTGAAGAGGCATTTGCTCGAGGCGCTGCATATGACAAGAAAAACAAGCGGTAGAGCAACATTACGAACGCAATAACAATCCAGCTATGCAAGGACATGGTCCTCAGAGCAATGATTAAAACACTGGATTCAAGGTACGTCTTACCTGGGCGACAATACTTCAGCCAAACTGCTTTCCCAACATTATAGGAACAAACGATTCAAATGTTTTTATATTATATGTACTTCTGACAGAGTAAGCCACTATAAACCTATATAAAAACACAGTCAAGGGAAAAAAAAAAATATATATATACCGTGAAACCGCCAGAATCTTAAAAAATACCGTGATACACATTTTTGGTCATACCGCCCAGCGCTAAATAGCAGGTTATGTGGAGCTTCACTGCATCTCACCACATTGTTTATCAATTCATTAGGTCCATGTGTCCGATCTGTCCCATGTCTCATCACCATAATTCTTGCTATTTTTGGTTCCATGATAAAAACAACCATTAGTTGCAAGAAACTGCAGGATATGTTTAAAGCTTGAGAAAATAAGTGAAACCACGTCTCTGATATTCATTAAGCCATTCGTCGACCTCCCAGCATTTTTCCGGTTAGATCCTGTGAAGTCTGGTGCCAGACAGGCCTGTTGCTGGCTGAATATTTAGGTCAAATGTGTGTGTGTGTGTGTGTGTGTGTTCTTGCAGCTGTGGTTTTGTAAAAGACCTCTGTGAACCTTCCACGGCCTTCTTCTTATAAAATTCCTGAAAGTGTCCCTGTTATTATCTCTTTACAACAGATCGAATAAAGACATTCTGATGTAACCTGTGAAAACTAGACTGGATGTCCCCTCAAAAACACGTTGCCACACTGAGCAGATGCTATATCACTTAACTATGGTACATATTAAATGCGTTGCACTATCCTGGAGTAACCTTGTGTAAAACCAAAACATCTTGCTTAAATACAACCAATGCTAAACCTAAATGGGTGAGTGTTATATCCACAGTGCTCTCTTTCTCTTGTTAAAAAAGGCAGTTACAACTGGAAACACAGACAGCTTCAAATAAGGCCTTGAGAAAGGCTCCCACAGTAGCACAAAGGGCTGGCTGGGAAAAGGAGGGGAATCAGGGTTGGAAAGTTAGATGAGGGCACGTGAATTCTTTCCATTCTTGATCCTGGGCCACCACGAGGGCTGGCCTTAAGGTTCACAGAGGCAGGAACAGCCTGCTTTCTCAAAGGAAAGACATCCCAGAAACACAGGTACTCTTGGCAAGCTTCATACAGTATACTTAGAACAGAACCATTAAGGATCATAAAAACCTGATGGAAATCATGAGGAGGAGGTTTTTCTATTAACCCAAATGATACAAATAAAATAGTAAAGTGGGAGATAAAGGTGGAACAAATGCCTTGTGCCTATAGCACTGGTGCATAAATCCATACAACACATTACTGATACTACACAAAGTGAGGTTCACTGGCAATGAGCCCTTCTTTATTTAGAAACAACGTATTTCAAATAACATGCACTCTGACACCCAGCTGCCCCGACTCACCCCGTCTACTAGAAGTAGAGGGTGGTTGTGAAAGCAAATTTGCCTCCAGTGGTTCCGCCATAATGTGCTGCCAACACTGAAACCAACGCCTCCACACTCCACTGGGCACCATAGTGTCATTTGGGGGTGATGGCTTCATTTCCAAACAAGCCTCATTTTCATCTGAAACGCCAGACACACACACTCAATCAGATGAATATAGGTGCCCTGAAAAAGCGGCTGGTCGAGACTTCACAGTTCTCCCTCCCCCCACCACCATTGTTATCATAGCAGAGACAGACGAAACACAGCAACACGGTTTGGAAACGAGAGCCGGGTCAAAGCCCGTTAAAGTCAGTCTGACTACATGACTACAGCATTTGTATTCTTGACAAAAACGGAGCAGCGGTAGTCTGCCGCAGTGCTACGGCAGACAATAGTCAAACACAAGAGAGCTGACCCCAGTCAGGCAGCTTTTCAATGATTCGCATCAGGAAAAACTGCTTGTATAGAGGGAAAACAGCCCACATGGCAAACTCTGCTGTAAGGGAGAAGTGCAGTAATGCTGGGTGGGTGGCTATAGTGACTTAACTGTGTGAGAAACTTACTTCTTCCCGGCAACTACAAGACCTCGCCTTCCTCTTTCTATTGCAGAGATAGCTATTGCCTCCACTTAACATATGACTCCTGTGAAAATATAGAAATCGGAGCTGAAAATGTGACTAGACTACAAAAACATGGTGGTGGTGTGCTGGAAATGAACAGTTCTGATAAACAAGTGTGTGTAAGTTTGTTTCAGAGTGATGTATGCTGTAGCAGGAATCCAGGCTGTGTAAGGGATATGAATGAGGCAGACCCAGCCAGAGGGATCTCATCACGTGAGCCCACTTCAGACCCTCCAATGACTAATCTGAGACACACGTGAGTGAGTATCTGACTGCCTCTGTGCTCGGAAAGAGATCCAGCAGCTAGAGAGAGAGAGGGGGGAGGCATTTCCTCACATCACACCACCATATGGCCTTTGACTGGAATTTCCCCATCCTTCATAAGGTGACAGAAACACACAAGGGCAATGCAGGCCTTCCACCTGGCTACAAGTAGACAGGATGATCCACACTCTTCTCACACTAAAGACAACCATAACCTACTGCTACCATTACACTGCCTCACAAACACAACTCTGGGTTTAGAGAGAGCATTAAAATATGTACATCTAGGATTGGGTGTGTCAACATCTGGCTTTTAATGCCCTGGTTTACATTACGTTTGCATCTGACGAGAGACAAGGAAAGGGTCGGTAAACACAAAGAAAACAGCCTTCTCTGAGACCCAATATGCTTAACTCACAGGTGTGGAAATGAAGTAATGACGCTGACACAAATAAATCTGTATATATTGTAAAGCAGAACGTCCATCCGCTGCAGCCTCAAGCATTCAACATTCCCATTAGAAACTAACAAAGACTCAAGGCTGAACCTGCCCATTTTGGGAATGCTACATTTGAATGTTTGCTGTATTTTTCTCACCTAAGAACGAGGATTATCTTAATCTTTGTTAAACCACAAAATCATGAACTCGCGCATCTGTATATTTAGACATGTAATGGAGCCCTTTTTCACTTCAAACTTTATTCACCTAAAAAGTTCCCATGGCTGGGTTTTCCACAGCCTCACTTCTCCTGACAAAGGAAATAGAGGCGTTACCTCAAGGAACCACATCCCGTCTTGTTTACTTCCTGCTGTGAAACTGTCACCGTGGGGGTGGGAACCACGTTACTGGGCAATAAAGCAAACATCATGTGTCAGAGCAACAAAGCACTCATCTTTAGGAAAACATTTGCTATATCTGCTCTTCTTAAAGCTCTTGTTTGAACAGCATTTCAACACACAGTCATCACAAAGCCCCATTAAAAAAATTAAATAAAAAAAATCACATTCTCTCCTCAAACACAACAGCTACCCAGAGACTGACCATACCTTATGAGAATAGTGTGGGTCCATGATACGGGCCAGCCCAAAGTCCCCGATCTTCAGTACCAGGTCCTCTGTGTTGACAAACAGGTTGGCAGGCTTGAGGTCACGGTGCAGCACATTGGCAGAGTGGATGTACTTAAGGCCCCTGAGGAGCTGGTACATGAAGAGCCTGGCATGGTCCTCAGACAGAAGGCCCCTCTCCAGCAGCTGACACAGGTCCGTCTCCATGTACTCCTGCACAATGTAGACAGAGTTGACCTCCGTCAGGGACACCACATCCTCCGTTAACCTGCGACCGTTGGGGCCCAATGTCTCAAACACCTGGTGACATAAGAAGACGTGTCAGTGTTGAAAGTCAGTTTTTAATTTGGACATAAGCTCTTTTTACAACCCCAGAAAATAAGTTTAATTCTCTTTGCTTTTTTTGAGCAAACGTACCTTGACAATGTTGTCGTGGTCAAGGCGTCTAATAATCTTGATTTCTCGCAGGGCGTGCTTCACACTCTGGGGGTCCGTCAAGATGATTTTCTTCACGGCTACACGCTTGTCACAGTCTGTGTCCACGGCTGAGAACACCAGGCCGTTCCCTCCATAGCCCAGCGGCTTCAGGTCCATGTAGCGAGAACCCAGGTCGAAGCCGTGGATGTTCATCAGTGACTCAAACTTCTCTGCCATGACGACTGTTTTCGGCTTTTACGCCAAGCTTCTGCTGTCTCTTAATGTATGGTCTCTTTGGCCTGTTTCCAAATGTATCACCGACAGAGGAATTTATCCGACAATCCCTCCACTGCTTCAGCGGCTGAGCTGACTGACCCCTGTATAGACGACTACTGAGTCCCCCCGTCTATCTGTCACTGTCAGATTCGGGGCACTGATGTGTGGTGCAATCTTTGCTCCATCTTGAGTAAGGGGATAATATTAGAAATATAATTTCTCTTCCGATCCTGGATGTGTAGATATCTTTAAGTGAACAGTTTAAATAAACTAATGATGACAGACTGCAATGGAATGGTCTTTAAGGCCAATTAAAAAGCACAGAGACTAAAGTAAACTATAAAAGCATGTAGTTGCATCCTTACAGTGAGGATACATTCAGTGTTTGACTGGTCCTGAGCAGCTTCATGTGTTGTTGTTTTTTCTTCTTTTTTTGTTTATAACTAGTCAAGTCACCTGATCTATAAAACTGAAATGAGTCTGGCCTTTAAGTCTTCAAAATAATGTTTTACTCTCAATGATCAGGTGGCTCAAGTTCGCCACAGTCGCAATCAAAACTATCCTCCATTTTACTTGGGTATAACCTAAAAGACAAGAGAAAAACAACAAAAAGAAGGTTAGGAACAAAACGCAATGTTGTGCCAGGATAGAAGGGTTACAAGTCCATAGTTTTGCAATAGTACTTTTCCACCATTGCACGAAAACGTAGTCAAACCTAGCTCTTACTAAATATGTTGGGGATTTCACAAGAGCCAACAAACATCAAGCAGACTCGTTCACCGGCTTTAGGTTCAACGTGGTGTCATTAATGGAAACTAGACCTCCCCCGCCCGGTTTAGACGCTTGCTAGTCCGGTTTCTGGGTATCGATGGAATATAAAGAGATCAAACAGATCATTAGCTAAGATTACATATCACACGTTGAAGGAAAACGGTCTTAATTCTGAGCTTTAAATGTGCTTGGTCTTCACGGGGTCTGTGACTGGCAGGCGGAAAAAGTCAGGAATGGAAGCATAATGCGAGCTGACAAGCTAGCTACCGAGACACATCCCGTCTACTGGGTCTTAATATGTCACAACATGACCACATACACCATATTATACGGGAAACTACGATTTCAACGAACCATGCCCGTTTCATTAACATGTAAACGTGAGGAGGAGAAATCCTCCGACAAAGCGAACAAAGGAGTCGTTGTTGGCGGAGGCTTCTGACTACGTGGTACGGTTCTCCTCGCGCTAAGCAGCACAAAGCCGACCTCGCTTTAATCGTTAAAAACGACCCAAACCTACATTTAAATGGAATTTAATATAAGTAATAGTGACAATAATAGACATATAGTACATTACTTACAGTCCGTATTCGTAGCATTAGATTCGTTATGTGCTAAATCAAACCCAGACGAGGTTTGACCGAGCTCCGCTGCCGCTCTGCGGATCTATTGCAATCGCCATTGAGGCTGGGCAGAGCGATGGAAGACAGCGTGACGTCGCGACGCTGCCTTCAAGAACAGTCGGATATACCTCAACTACCGTGAGAATTTTTATCAATGTGATCGTTGAAGTGGTATTTTGCGGCAATGTTAAAGGATTGTTGGCCGATTTTTGTTATTATATGAAAAATATACAGTTACAAAAAGCAAATTGCAGCGCATAGTAAGTAGCAGTGCATATTTGTGGAAGTCTGAGATACCTTAACATATCAGATATTGAGTATATTAGTAACACAACGCCTAAACGGTCGTTTTTACATTACACATCGGAGCTTCGAGCAGTACTTGAATGCAGCAGGAGTCATTAACAACATGTGTTTGTGTGAGATCACGTGACAGCGGCGGATTCAAAATCTAACTCCAATAATATTCTGCAGTAAACAAGAGTGCTATGATCATCTCTATGTAGCATATCATCATAGCACATTAAAAATAAAGTTAAACCACTGCTGCAAAAACATATATCATAGTCCTGTTTATAATAGGCATGGTCCTAGTAGAAACAAACATATGAAGAAAGACAGAAAGATGCTTGCTTGATTTTTTTACCGCTCCGTAAAATGTGAACAAACTGGCCAAAGATAAGGGATGAGGATAAATAATTGTATCCTATTTTACTACCGAAAATGAGAGATGAAAAAAATCCAAAACTGGTGGGTGCACAAAATGCTGCAGACCAGACGCTGACAATCGCGTGTTTGACCTGTCCCTTCTTTCTATTTGCTTTCTATTTTAATCCTTTGCAAATATGGTGCTGTTTTCCGGAGTGATCCACGAATTGTTTTCCCTACTTGTTTTTGCCGTCGGTGGGTATTAACGTTGTTTTCGGATTAGGGCACGTAATGCATTAATGGTGTCAGTGAGAAAAATCGACGGTTCACTCACTGCGGCTTGCGGATTTAAAAAGTCCATCTGGCACCGAGAAGCGCAGGGTGTTTCTCCGTCAGTTAGTCCGCCCTCACATCTAATCTCCACGAAGTTTACACATCCCGAGCACAACAAAGTCAGGAGATCAATGAAGGCGCTACTTTTCTCCGTTCAGATCCCTCATTCCGACTGCGGTTGGTGTCCTGTACTAGTCTACCGCGTCTGGTCGTCTCTCACTGTGGATGCTGTGACTGGCAGACCGATGGGCGTGCAGGGAGCAAGCAGCATCACAGCCGCAGCATCAGCATCCGCAGGCAGACCATGTGGGAACCCATGTGCCCGAGAATGCAGATCCCTCTCACAGGCCGGGATGGGCTCTGCGATGCAGAACAGAAACTGCATGCGGACTGAGCGGGATGCGACAGACTCGGAGAGCGACTTGTTTCGGTTAATAGTCGGACCAGCTGAGAGACATGTTGAGAGAAGACACGATATACATTTTATTAGCTACTCTTGCATTTTTGGCCGATAGTGAGATCGTGGTTTATAACGATGCTTTGTCTCGTGCATCATTCCCAAAGGCATACACTAATAATATATAATTATAATATCTCACAAGGTTAGCTAGATCTTAAAGAGCGATAAGAATTGGGATGTATAATTAATGCAATTTAGAGCCTTATTTGGTTTGCTGATATATATGTGTCTAAGTTAGGCCACTCTGAGTTTATCTCTCTTTATTTCTTTATTTTTTAAAAGAAAGGATATTTTGAAGAAGTTTCTATTTTTCATTCCTTCATTGTAGGTTTACAATCAATATTTAGTAAATCCTGCTAAAATGATACTTTATTGATCCAAGTTTTGATGCCCCTCCTCTATTGGAAGGTCAGAGGTCAAGTTAATGCAATGTCTTTGCTGGAAGGCACTTCAGTAAAGGAGACACTTTACATCTTCCACACATCAGAAAGAGAGACAGTGTACATTTTCCTTTCAGACCATCTTTCTTGCGAATATGATTACGTCCCACTGGCTTCTGGCACCATGGTTGCATTGCTTCTGATTGAAGTTACATTAGTCATTAAAACTCTGATTTTTAGATAAGGTGTTGGCACTTGTGTGCCCATATGAGTGCTCTTTACCCTCCGCGGTAGATGAATAAGCAGAGGTCAGGGTAAAGCTGATCCTATCTGTTGGTGTCAAAAGATAATTTCCTCACTTTTTGATTGTTTTGGAGAAGACAGATTCAAAAAATAATCTTCCTCCTCTGTTATTTGTATCGCAGTCAGTGCAAAGTCTGCAGCAGGACTCCCCTTGTTCATGAGACAAAGAGTTGACATCAAGTCTTTGACTTTGTAAGTTAGTTGGGATGACATAGGCTATCAATGCCACTTACTGCTGCTGCCATGTTGCTGCAATGCTTTGGCGTCATTAGACAAAACAAACACTGAACTGTTGCAAACTTGTTTGTTGAGTATCGCTTGTGTGACAAACGAAGTTGCTGTCTATGTTAATCTGCTGTTAATCACACTTTCACTTACATCTGAGTGTGTCTAAGCCCAACTCCTGCATAACTCCTCTAGCTCACCATAACAAAATACATCACCACCTGTTCTCTTTGTTGAAGAGGTTTTTTTGCTTAGAATCCAGGCAAAACAGAAATATCCTCAACATCACTAACATGACACATTCATGCATGTCTACTTGTCGCTTATTTCGTATGCAACCTTCCTGCCACTTACCAGAGCTGACATTCTCCTGAGACGACCCGAGCAACATGGTACAGAAGTTAACAGTCCATCCGGGAGAGTTTAAACTGTATATCCAACACTGCCAGTTTGACCAGCAGACAGGTGAAGAGCTCAGTCTAGTGGCTCCCTGTGTACGTGACTCTTTTGTCAGAGCTTTTGCCGATGTGTTATCCTACTCCATGTGCCTCTGGTTGTGAGGTGGAGCTCCATGGAGAGTTAATATAGGCCAGGCCAGAGAGGGGAGGAGACTGCTCTGTGTATGGCTTGGCCTGTCAGTGTGTCAGATCCACCACCATGAGAGTCCGTTTGCCACCACCTCTCTCTGTCTCTCTCTTTCACTGCTACTTTCTTACTCTTCTCTCTTTCCCTTTCCTCTTTTTCAGATGTGCTCCTAAATTTCATGTCTTCATGTTGTGGTCCAGTCTAAGCAGAAACCAAACAAATATTTTGTGGTCTGCTTTAAAAATGTATTCCTCTTTCTGGGTGAGACCTTTGCAAATCCAGTTTTGGGGATTCATGATTTTTATCTGTCAGCTTAAATCAAAGGATTACACGCTCCTGATGGGCTGTGAATGCTCGGCATCTCTTCGGATTAGGAAAAGCCTCCAAAACACTTTTGAATTAAATGAAAAATACATGCTCATGCGGATTTTTGTCACTTTACTCCCCCCGTTTTGCAAAGAACAGAGCCTGCGATATATGTCTGTACCAGAAGGCACTTTCATGTGTTTGCAGTTCATCCTCTGAAGTGAAGTGTTTGTGTTTAATTGCTTTGCTGAGTGATGATCTCTCCTCTGCAGAAAGATGGTTGCCTGTTTTCCTCCTGCTTCACAAATCACATTTTTTTTCCTGCTTTCTTTACTCACAACATCACATGGTGTCTGCCACTCTCTGCCTGCGAGACTGGCGCTGCTGGCAAGCACTCCCTCTCTCCGTCTTCATCTGCTTGTCATATGGCAGGATGCGGGTGTCTTGAAAAACTGGCCTGTGGAAGGAAATGCGTGTATTTGTTTGATATTTAAACCAGACTGCTGAGGGGTCTGGACCAGCTGTGTGTTATCAAAATATCTGAATGGACGTGTGAGGAAATGAGGGCGAAGCTGTGGGTTTCGCGTTGTTTGCATGTGTTTTTTTCTGACCACGCTCTTATTTTTTACTTCTAGCTAAGAGATTAATTCACGATCTGTGACGCCTGCAGCGTAAATCTGTGTGTATGTGTGAATCTACTGTAATGAACTCAAAGAATAGCCTGTATGGGCAACGCTGCATGGACTCAGTTCATCAACACCCTTAATTAATGAATCACTGATTACCCTGAATAAGTGCAGGCAGATACCATTACATAACACAATTTACAGAAGCACTACAACACTGGCACTCAGAACGATTCATACTGATCTCTGCTGTTTTCCATGCAGTGTCTGTCTGCTGTTGTATAACGGGCTGTCTCACTGGACCTGAAGCAAAGGTGCAGAACAGATCAAGAGCGGGCATGAGTTCCTGCACCCAGGATAACTTCAATAGCCGTTTACCCCTCACAGGAGCTGTGTTAGCCACACACACTGCTCATGTCAGATACCACGCAACTCAGGTATTTCACAGCGTTGTGAAAGAGGCCTGCACAGAGAAAGCATTGGTACACATTGACCACTGTGATTGTGTCTCCATTGCAGGGAGCAATGTTTACATAATGCCATCTTTTTGTGGTTTGGTGTTAAGTAAAGTTGATAAGTAAATGTTAAATGCTCAGATAGTCAACTGCTTTTGCCCTACTCATGTATGATTGCTTCATTTCTAAACCTCTCTGGTCTTTGCCGGAAATATTTTGGAGAAAACCTCCTCCTTGTACCCATTAACTCGGAGAGAACTGGCTGTCCCATCTCACTGTTTTCTGTTCAGTAAGTTTTTCTCTTCCTGCGTCAGCACCGAGAATGTCCACACAACGCTGCTGAAAGGTAAGGCAAGGTTCCTGGTGGAATCTCACTCTGCTGTTTGAATGATTTACTCCGAGGGTACAGTGATTACGTAACGCACAATAGTGCCACCATCACTGGCCTGGGATTAGCCTTTTTTTTCTCTTTTTCAGGGTGACAGTACAGGTTGACGACTTTGTCTCAGATCTGAGATGAAACCAGCAGCTACAGAGTTAAAAGGTTCATCAATTGAACATTGTAATGCAAAGAACACAACAGAAACTTCACAATCATCATTGGGGAGGGTCATGTTCATGAAGCCTCTTCATATGGCAAACAAGTAGGTCGAAATGAAATGTTTTTGCATTAAAGGCATATTTTGAACAAGAAGAATCTGATTATCAGCATGGCGGCAGATTTTGGATTTTTGACCCGTTTTACTAGCATTCCTGAATTATAGCACTTAAGGAAACAGAGGAGACGAGAGGAGATGAGACGAGACAAGACGAGACGAAATGAGAAGAGGAGAACAGAGGACCATCTGCCTTTGCTGTCCTCTCACCATATGTGAATGGAGCATCCTCGGATCTACAGGGCTCTGTTTGTGTATCTGTGTATGTGGGTGTGTGTTGGGTGTATGAGCCATCCTCTCAATGATGTGATGTAACCTGTTGTGCCCGCTCCTCGCCCTCAGACAAACGATAAAACACACCATACATTTTCGGGATATTCTGAAATGATTTCGTGATCTGGCAGGGACATTGTGTGTATTGCGTGTGCTGTGCGTTTGATGTGATTGAATTTGTTTGTATGGGGTCAGAGATAAAACTGGGTGTTTGGTGGTGATGTAAGAGGATCAGAAGCTTTGGAATCTGGAGGTTTCTTAACAGGACAAAAACGGATACCTTTCACCTGTAAGTGCTCATGTGTTTAAAACGACTCAACAGGTTCAGATAACAAACATGTTATCAAAGTCATGTTTTCCAGACAGTGACTTTTTTTTTCTTTTTTTTCAATGACATAGCCATTGATTAATCTGGTGTAAATTTACATGTTGCCTTAATTAGAAGAAGCTTAGCCCGCACACATTTAGATAACTGCAGGTATAATGTTGTGCTTCTAACTCACTATTCCTTAAATGCAACAGACTGTTATGCATCGTGGCAACTAACTTCCATAAATGCTATCATCTCCAGGACAGGTATTACCAAGACAAAAGAGCAACTTTTATTGTTTCGAACATGTAAGCAACCCTGAGCCAAGGTTAATTTCCACAAAAACATTTTTACAGTCCCAGGTAAGTCACTTCGCAAACGTTTGATGACACACTTGGCTAGAAACCTTTTCTTTTTTTGGCAATAAAAAAACCATAAAGATTAAAAAACAAGGTCAAAGTCAGAAGCTGCCTGTGATATCTTCCAAAGTAGTGACGGAAATCCCCAAACAGCTCAATGCCTGAAAGAGACCATAAAACTCTGATGATACACAGAGAGCATACTGTCCAAAGTATTACAACGGAGAGAGAGAGGTAGACAGATTGATAACAGCGGCTACTTAAAACGCTGTGTATAATGTCTACTATCTAGATGTGTGGTTATGTGACTGCAGCACCTCTGCCCTCTCACTCTCTTCTTACCGTCTACAAGGTCTTATTACTCACAATATTTGGGTTTCAAATAAGATCAAGGATCTGTGTCATCATTATCAGCGCTCTGCTGTCTGAATATATATCATGGCTTTTACTTTTGTCTCTGTTTTGTGCATGTTCCTGCATTAATGATCTACATGTGTGTTGTGTCAGTGAATGACATGTGTTTGCCTGTAAACACTGGCGTTTTATTTGTGAAATACACAAATAGTACATCTGTGTGGACCTGTGTTTATATATATTTGAGTCGAGGTCATGACTCCGTTCCCATCTAGAGGACCTGTGACTTGGATATTCAACAATTGCATAACAGTTCTGTTATCTCTCCTCCCAGACAAATTTCCATTTGACTTCTAGCAGCTCTCTCTCCGGTGCCCCTTCAGCCTCTCATCTCACGTCAGGGCACACCAGTGGTACGTATAGGATTGATCGGCCTCTCCTCTCAGAGTGTGTGTCACAAGCGGTGAACAGCAGCGCTCTCCATTAATCACAGGCCGATCACAGCTGAAACCTGAAACTCACACTGATATGCTCAGCGTGTTGGCCTCCGTCCCTCTGCAGTTTCCCTTCAGCTAAACTCAGGAGGACCACGCGGTGGACGGTGCATTGATGCGTATCATTGATGGGCTCATATAAGACAGCCAGCCAACGGCATCAAGGTTACCAGCATGGGTTTCGGGCCTGTCTTTTAAATGTGGCAGTAGTCTGTGAACCGCGCTGCAGCCGCCTCCTTGGCCTCCCTGCAGTGGCTCTGTGTGTCTGGATCGATGCAGCACTAGAGCGGGCAAAAGCACACAATGTTCAGTTGTGTCTGCAGAGTGGCAGGTCTAATGGGGAGCCTGTCTGGCCAATCTTGGCCTGACCTAGCCAAGCTGTCACTGCGATCTGCCCACCCCTGCATACAAATTATCGGATAACAGGGATTGACAATGCTCTGCTTGGATTGGCTACCTAGACATCTCTGGGCTGACATCACGGGCCACCTGCCGCAAAAGGATCCTTATCTGAGACAAATCTTTCAAAGACATGGCAGGGTTTTGAAAGTCAATATGGCTTCCTTTCCAGGGACCAGATAACATGTCTTTGAAAATGGGATTTTTCCAGTCACACGACAAGCAGGTCTGTGCCGGACTATTGATCGGCCTGTGTGAACCATCAATCATTAACCTGTGCTACTATGGCATGGTGTGATAGGACTGGAAGTGGAAAAACACATTGCTGTTATTGCAGGTTGGCTGCACTGCATCCGTCCTGACACTGAACTGGGGTTTGTTTTGCAACATGTAATCCTGTACCACGGAACGCTACAGCCCTCGGACCAACTGAGGAGTGGGTTCATTGGGTAATCTGGAGACGTGTGCTTATATGCGTGTGTGTTTTTCCAGCTG